TTTAGAGTAGAATGTTTAGTTCAATTCTGGCTTCTTCACTTAGTAAGGGTATCACTTTGGACGAATCACTTATCTTCCCCTCATTTCAGCTTCATGGTCTTTAAATGAGAATAAGGACACTAACCTACCTTACTCTGGTGTTTGAGGGTTAAGAGAGACACTCCTACATAGATGACAATCCTTTGTAAACCATAAATATGAGGCGAACATAGGTATTATAAGGAGAGGATGTTTTTCCTGCTACAAAGTAATTTCCCATCCATTTCTGGAGGAAAAATATCTTTACGTAAAATGGTTTTAGTACTAGTTAAAGAAAGTTTTTGATTAATCACAGTAAACAGTAAAAATAAAAGTAACATATTAATTTACTTTAGATGTCAAGTGAGCTGCAATAGTGAGCAGAGGCTTCAAGATTTGAGAGGGCCCCAAAGGATGGGTATGATTTCACTAGGCCAAGAAAAAGAGAAACCACAGGTAGTTAGGGAGCTCTGTGAACCACAAGAGATAGTAGATGATAGTAGAAATATAAAACAAATATTCATTCAGTTGATTATTTATTCACGCAAAAACATTTGTTTAGTATGAAGAGAACGGTTTGGCTGAAATACTTTTGGAGAAGGTGAGAGACAAAATGTAGAGTTTTCAATACATTCTGATATGCTATAAATAATTGTAAAAGCTCAGGCAACTGTGACATATTAAAGATGGTACAAGTAAAAGGTATATATCTGAAAGGAGCAAATATAGGAGAGGCTAACAGGAAATCTCTGTTTCAATTTCTCCAGCCCTAACTTGCCAAATGGGAAAGTGACACCCAAGACAAAATCTAGTGATGTATTTTTGGAACAACTCCTGGCTTAGTCCTGGGTTTCAACTAATCTTAAAGGGGTATTTTGGATCGTGTATGTGGTCTATTTTGTGTTGGCACCTATGATGCTATTCTTAAGCTAGGTGAGCCACTCTGCCTTGTCAGAATGCAGGCAAATCTAAACGTCAGGCAGATGGCCAGGAACATGAAGAAAGGCCTGAAAGAGGGTCACAGATGAAGAAAAAAAAAGAAAGTTCTGTCTCAGTCTCAGCTGGAGTACATACAAGAAGTGTAAGCAGATCTATGCCTTAGATCTACAGACCAACTGAGAGTCTAAATAAAGAATGGTGGGTTGCATCCAGTAACTAGGATGGTTATAAACTTCCCAGACAGTTTGGTTGAAGTAACACAAAGTGGCAAATACAAGAAAAATACAAGATGTAAAAACTCAGAAAAAACAGCGATGCAGGCTCAGGATGAAACTTATCTATCCATAATGATCTATTGGTATCTTCTCTTTTTCTTCCTCTTCCTCTTTTGCTTCCTCCAATTTCTCTGGCAAAACTCTTTGTCTTCTTTTCTCTTTCTCTCTCACTTTCTTTTCTGATTTCTGTTTTTAGCAACAAATTCTATGAACACAATTTTAAGTTCAGGATTGCATTTCAGAATTTATTAATTTTTTTTTTGTTAGAGATAGCACATTTATTGTTAACTTTACCTATTCAACTAACCTCAAATAAAACATCTTATATTGGTGTGCATGCAGAAATGACAAAAAATGAATACAAAGAGGGGAAAATTATACAGCTGAAGCATGGACACAAATCCACAGCAAATAAAATTAATATTGGATATTAAGTTTAAATGCATTTCAGAATTTCTTGCAAATTGTTTTCAGAGAAAAATTTTTTATTTACTAAGCAGCAAATGTTTAAGAGTTTATATCAGGCATTTTCATCATCTGGTAATGGTAGACTAGTTTATTGCAGATGAACCCTCTCATCAAAAATAAGAAAAACTGGACAGCACATAGACACACGTAAACACACAGTCTCTCTTGCTCTCTCTCTCTCTCTCTGTTCCCCCACCCCCTGAGATAGATAGATAGATAGATAGATAATAGACATCCAGATAATTTTGTGTTAAAGAATTGGGGAGATATTGAGGCAGTGAGGATTACGAAGGTCAAAAGTTCCAAGACAAAGGAAGTAAAGAGAGGTAGAAAGGTGAGCCCAATGTCCTGCACCAAAATCCCTCCACCATTTACTGATTCACAGGCAGAAGTTAAGAGGTTGAGAATTTGAATAGATCTTCTGGAAGGGGTGGGTAGCAAAAATTGGAGTTTAGAGTTCACCAACAAGGAACCCTAGAAAAGACACCAAATTTTCAGCTGGGGTACCTCAAAGGGCCACACTTTAAGTGCAGGAGTAAAATAGAATTAGAATGACTCTTACAAAGACTAAAGCCCATCTGATTGGATTAGAATGATCTGTTCCTACCTTAACTGTCTGCAAGGTCACATGGCCTACAACCAAGAAAAAAGCAAAAAAGAGAAACAAACTCCAAAGAAATCCAGATATAGTAGTTAACAGACATGAACTTTAAAGCAATCATAATTCATTTATACAAGAAATTAGATGATCAGATAGAGGATTTCAGCATAGAACTAAGAATTACAGAGAATTAAAAAATACAATAATTGAAATTAAGAACGCAATAGATGTGTTTAGCATCAGTCTTAGTTGAGGAGGGGATTTATTGAACTGGAAGACAGATAAGAAAAAAATGATTAATATATTCATAATAAAGCATGGAGAGAGAAAAAGGATAAAATAAACAAACAAACACAACTCCAAAAAATTACATAAAAGAAACTTAGGATATGGTAAAAAGAAAAAACAAAACTACTACAGTTGTAATCAGAGTGACAAATATTCTTTGCTTAGACAAAGGCTGGCAGGTTTCTAAATCTTCCCATAGGCCCGTCTGTGCACTTCCATATAAAATCTAGTTTTAGCAAAAGAACCTGGCTAAGTCAGTTTAGTCAGAACCCCTCATCCTCAATATCTGATCAGGTTCTTAATCCTCCACCATTCTCCATGCGATATCTGGTCACCTTGGCCTGTCTTCAGCAAGAATCCTGTTAGGTTCCGTTCAATCAGAATTCTCCTTACCCCTGATGTAGAATTGCTTGAGCCCAGGAGTTTGAGGTTGCTGTGAGCTAGGCTGACACCACGGCACTCTAGCCCAGGCAACAGAATGAGACTCTGTCTCAAAAAAAAAAAAAACAGACAGAAATCAAATTATGACACCCTCTTCTCATCCCAGTGTTCAAGGTCCTCTACCTGTGATTCAAAGAATTTTGCCAAACTACCATTCCAGTTTCACTGTCATTATTCCCTGCTTCCCAACCTTACAACAGAGCCCCATTTTGCTGTCACAGTGACGTATGTGCCAGTCTATGAACGATCTCTACATGCTTCAATTCACATTCACACTCTTTCTTCTCTCAGAAACACCCTTTCCTCCTCAATCCACCTCTCATATTTTACTCATCTTTCAAGGTCTAGCTCAATCCCATTTTATCTGAGAAACCTTCCTGTATAGATTGTCATTCAATTTCCCTCCTCTGTAGTCCCACAATAATTTGCTCCTCTGTTAGATGAATGTTCACTCATTCCATTTATAGTATTCATAATGGAGTTATTTAAATAGCTTTTTCACTACATTATGATGGGGGGCACTTTTCATTCATCATTGTTTTCCCACAGTTCTTAGTCCACAGTTTGTACAATGTAATCAACACAATCCTTTTTACTTTTAAATCTTCACTCTGAAATTCCACCCACTTTGCCTAACTTACTCCTTTTCCCCCTGGGAAAATCATGCTTATTCTTTGATATCCAGCTTTTATGTCATTTACTCAATGAAGCCTCCCCATAACCACATAGAGCTAAGTTCATAATTCTACATGTAAAATACACTATTTTATTCGAATATCTTAACAGTATTTCTCTCAAAGACATGGTTTATTTGGCATGGCACTTTATTGACATGGTGATATGGACATTGAATTGTATGTAAATATGTTTGGTATCATCTTCAAGCATATTGTAAGGCACCTTTGACTAAGTGCAATCTTGTGTATATTTAATTAATTTTGACTAAATGTGATAACAAGAATGTGTGAGAAAAAATATATTCCCACTAATACGTGTCTTGTAGAATAAAGGGTTTGAAGGCAAGCAGTTGTCACACATTTGCAAAGTCAAAGGGAAAGTATAGAAGCCTAAATCAATGGTTCTGCAAAAATCTCTTTGGCTCAAGGTTAACAGTGTGTGTTTAGAGAAACTTTGAGTGGGTTCCACCCTTCACATTTGAACCATGTGGTTAAATCATGGAAACAATAGTCTACTAAAAAATTAGAGCATTTATGTAGAGTTTTCAGGAGATGAAACTTGATTTATTCAAACAAAAGCAGCACTCTTCAACAATTAAAAAATTCTAACTCACTGAGCATTTTTGATTCAGGTATAAATCCAATAGTTGGATGTGTATGTTTAATGACTATGCAGCGCAGATTCTGTAGCACACACTTACAGTATTATCCAGAACTTCTGGCACTAAACTATAATTTGACCTTGTCCTGAGCTATATTTATGGATGGCCAATGATTTTATTATGTCTGTAGGTAAACAACTAGCACTTTGTTGCTTTTATTAGAAATATACTTTATAAGATCGGTTGAGTTGCTATATCTCATTCTCTACTATCTTCTTCAAAAACTAATAAACCTTCTTCAAAATACCGTGGCATTGTCCTCCTTCTCCTCATCCAGGTGCTTTGGCTTTCTATTGTGCTTCTTCTTGTCTTTGCCCTCCCATTTCTTCTTGGCTGCCTTCTTGTCCTCCTCTGTGGTGGGGGTGTTTTTAAGGTATCTTGAGGCCAGTGTGGTTTGTTTTCCTTTTTCCTCCTCTGAGTCTAAATCAAAAGAATGTGGAACCTGTGACCCAGTCTTCATCATCTTCAGAATCTCCCGAGTCCTCATGTTCACCCTTCATCTTTTTGAGGAATTTACGACTCTTCCCAGAAGGAGCTTCTGATTTCTTCTTCAAAAAAGTTGTGGCACTGATTCTGTTCTCATCCTCATCCTCATGTGAAGAGCCTTCTGTTTCCTCCTCACTCTTTTCAGCATCTTGCTCATGAGCCACCTACAGGACATCATTCAGCATACAGACCCTCCAGTGCAGATCCTGTACCACCACAGCATAATGCAGCTGGCCATCTGTGCCTTCCAAAAAGGCTTGACCCAGGATGCACACAAGGCCCTGCCAGGCATGCAGTCGAGTGGCTGGGCCAACCAGCTTCTGCTACTGTGTAGCCTCCAGGAATGCAACCAGGAGCAGCAGAAGGTGTAATGGCACCGGGAGGTTCTCTTCCACCTAAACATCAACCTGGATCTTCCGGTGTGTATCTATCTGGTGTCCACTGTACTCCTGGAGATCCCCTACATTGCTTTCCATGAGAGTAATGCCCACCATCACATGATCAGCAAGCAGTCCCATCACTAGCTGTGGGTGGGCGAGTGACAGCTCTTGCTGGGTCCTGTTAGGCAGGGACCAAATCTGCAGGTGGCACATACAGACCAGGAGAGCGGTTGCTAGGGGCAGAGAATCAGGGGAAGGGACTGCAGGAAAACACAAAACACCTAACAATCATGTATATCAATAATCTGGTAACATCCCACACCTCCCATAAGCCCTTCCCTGGACCAGGCCAATAAAAGGAACTACCTGGGAGTCCTTAATGTCTTTCTCCACTCATGGAGACTGACCCATTCTTCTCTATAACCTACTCTTGCTTTGTATAGCTCCCTTCCTTTCTGCAATAAAACCTAATTGTGGGGGATTGCTTCCTGTCTGTGGTCATTCCATTGCACCAGTCCTACTTGTGAATGTTCCAAGCTTTGAGCCAAAGAACCAGGACAACAGCCTGCCAAGGTGCCAGACCTGACAGTCTCCCTGAGTCAATGAGAGAACATGTGGTCACAGCCTCCAAGGTTACAAATAAAGGTGACTGGAAGACCTGCCACAGTTTTATCACCAAGCAGAAGATGAATGGGAAAGTGTGGGACCTTTCCTCCGAGGTTGACAAAGTCCACACCATGCTGGTTAGGAAGATCTAGGAAGAGTCACTGAGGACCTACCTTTTCACCTATAGCAGTTCCTATGACTCCATCAGCATGGAGACACTGTTTCACATTTTGAGCTAGATCTGCCCCTTGTGCACTCAATCATCAGCCAGATGATCATCAATGAGGAGTTGATGGCCTCCCTGGACCAGCCAACACAGACAGAGTTGATGCACCATACTGAGCCCACTGCCCAGCAGAGCTTGGCTCTGCAGCTGGCTGAGAAACTGGGTGTTTGACCACAAGCAGGGTACCTATAGCCTTTACCTCCGAGACCAGAAGGATTGTTACCACAAAAATGAGGGCTACATGTGCCGTGCTGGCTGCGGCCAGTAGAAGTCTCACACAGCCTACTGAGCTTTCCACTTGTGTGCCCATGGCCTAGACCATTCAATCTTTAAGTCCTAAACTACAACCCAATCATTAAAGATTTATTTAAAAATATGTGTATATGGTGACAGAGTGAATCAGAATACAAAGAAAAATGCTATCTTTTGCTGTATGAAGAGTCACAGTTGAATCAGGAAAACGGAAAATATGAATGAAACTGAAAACTAAATGTGCTATTTGTAAAACTTTCTCTCATGTAAGAAAAGATTTAGGAGATTGCGGGGATGGGAAGCAAGAGGTACTCATTCTCTGAGGAATTTCTCATGTTCTTAGTCAGGAGGCAGCAGCAATACCAGACAAAGTATAAGTCAGAACAATAATGCAGGTTCTTCCTTTAATTTTTTTATATAATAGGATTTGTGAATTTTATCAGTTGCAATGACAACTCAGACAGTGTAAGTTCATGGTGCATGTACATAATTTGTGTTTTCAACTTTTCTGACAGTTCTCCCATAAATTATTCTTTTAACAGGTTGAGTTTAATTCTGCCATGTTAATCCTATAGGCAGATTTTAATAACAGAATTTTAAAAAATTACCTTGGAGATTTAGATTCTGAATTTTAATCTGGTAATAATTCCACACTAATAAGTAAATCTGAATTTCATGGGGAAAAAAGAAAATAGACTTCTTTATATTTGTGAAAATTATTCTGCTGAAAAAGCATATGACCCAATCTAAGTAGCTAATGAGATATGAATCATTTCAACATAAGCTTAAGAATGTTGCTTTAAAACTGAAATAGCCAAGGTATTTTTTTCTTTCCTAGTATTTTCCTAAGATAGGTCTTCAAAGCCAGATACATACCACAATATTCATCCAACATGAATGCTTTTGATTGAATGCTTCTGTTAAATATCTTTAACAGAAGTAGGCTATACCAATAATTATCTGGTGGTGTCATTTCTTAAATTGATGTTTACTTTTTTCCCATATCTAAGAATTTGGGATCAATCTGAAATAGTCATTTAACATTTCAACTACATTTTCTATGGACAGTTTCACACATGTATTACTAAAGACCTAATACAGCATCCAGTGTTTGTTGTGTACTTGCTATGTGCTCAGCTCTAAGCTCTGTTTTATGTGAAATTAGGAAGAATGCATTCCTGGCCTTGGAAAGACTATAATCCAGCTGGGAAGTCAATTGGAATACAGATATGGTGGCAACCTTGATTAGACCAGACAGAATCAAATATTTCAGCATATGGAAAAGGCATAGTAAAAAGTGAGTTAAAAAAATTCATTTTGAGGACACCCCAGAAACTGAGCAAGCAGAGTTCACTAGCTGAACAATGTTATAAAGCCAAAGAGCAGAACTGACCTCCACCAAGATTGTCCCAGAGCAAAACACAAAGCTGTCAGGGCAGAAGATGCTGCATGACCCAGAATTCCAGGGATGCTCGTCTCCATGACATTCTCCAACACCCCATGTAGTTCCACCAGCCATGTCTTCACAATGTGTTCTCAGCCTCTTCGTTCCATTTCCAAAAACCTGAAATATGTTCCCGAAAGTTCTACCCCAAATACTTCCTCTTCCTTAATGATTCCTGACTAAACAGCTATTTTCTTTCACAAACTCTTGGTCTGCACCATTCTTACTAAAGGACCGTTTTTTACTTTAAATTATAGCTCGTAGAAGCCAGGCCTTAGGTTCTCATTTTTCCTCCGAAATATTTTGGCCAAAAAGACCAGATCTGATTCTTTATATCTCTGATGGAGCCTAATAATGACTACACATTCAAAGATTACTTGTTGAATGAATGGATATGATATAAGCTAATAAATAATATGTGGGATAAACTATGAATTACGTATTTGTCTTATATCTATTCATGTGATTCCCTACAAAGCAGGCAAAGTAGCACTCCAGGTCTTTAAGCAGAAAGAAAAATCTTTATGCAGATTACGTACAAGGAAGAATATAACAGAGTCTAGGATGTTAATGAAGAAGATTTTGGTCCCAAATATGGGGTTGCAAAGGCAGGACCAGTGTAGTAGCAGTAGTGATAGTGGACAAGATAGATACGATTAAGATATAGGACATAGAAAAGTTTAAGTAATGGATTAGGTATGTTTCTAATTTGCAAGTTCCATAAAAATCTGGATAATGCCCCATCATTATAGATGCCATAATATTAAGAAATCATTTGTAAATGAAGAAATATCACAGAAAAGAGGATTGCTAAACTGCCATCTCAACCTAGGTGTTCCCTAGCTGTGTGATATTGAACAAGTTACTTAACATCACTGATCCTCAATTTCCTCAACCATAACATGGGGATAGTAATTTTGAACTCTTGATTTCTGTGGAGAACCAATAAAAAATATAAAAAGTGCCTACAGCAGCTTCTGGCACATATCAGCTTAAAAGTAATTATAGATGAATAGTTGCTGAATCTATGAATGAATGAATGGATTAGAGTGCAGGTGGAAAGGAAAGAGCAAAGAAAGGACACAAGGAAGGAGTGGACAGGTATTTGGAAGAGAATGAGAATAGTTTGGGGTCAAGGGATTCAACGGAGGATTTCAATGCCCTCTGATTGCTTCACATCATGACAGGAGACCATGCCAAAAATCTGAGCCTCTGTGGAAAAAGAGCTCGAATTAACAGAGCTCATTGTTGTGATCATATAAAGCAGACTACAAAGTGAATTGAACACATCTTTAATATGAACAATAGACATGCTGCATGGTTATTAGGTATAAATAGTTTGCACTTAGGATAAATGACTGCAATTACCATTATGGTTACAAGGCTAAACCGAACATTTGGTAAAGTTACTTACAGGAAAAATGATGAGCTACGCAGAGGCCTCAAGCTATTGTAGCTATCTAAATGATAGGAGCATGGGGTAAGAATAGCCATTGACATGACAGCCATTCACTTACAGAACCAGGACTTTTGCTCTCTGCCCCTCCCCTACTTTTTTAGAGTTCCCAAACCTTAAAGGAATGAAGAACAAGGAACTTTTAGCATGAAAGTTTTAGACTTCCTCAAGATATAGAAGCCAATAAAAAATATCCCCTAATATGTCAGAGATAATTTTGGTGAAAGAAAATCCAGGTTAAACACATATGAACTTTGTAATTATACCCCAGAGTATCTATTGACTGAGTGCCTGCATTCTACCTTCTTTGAACCTAAATGGTTTCGATTAATAAGGACAAATGCATGGCACTCAAGCCAGCTTCCACTGCAGTATGTGCCTAGGATCTCATTCCTGGGCCTGAGCAGTAGACCAGAGAAGCTTTCCCATGGCATCTCAGCAGACATTATCAATAAGGCACAGGCCTCTTTCCTCAGAATCTACCTCAAAGCATTGCTCCAGGCAGTCAAGTACAAATGGATCAGAATTGGCCTGTAAATTAAATGCTGTTTGTCATTCTTGGTTCAGATATTTGTCTGCCTTAAGGCAGGCGCCTGGAATAAATGCTCCCTAAAATTCGTGTCCAGTTCAATGAGTCTATAGACCTCTCAGTTCCAATAATCTAATTAGCAGAACAAGGCCATCATTATATAAGAAGGAGACTCTTGAGTACTGAAGCCTTGAAGTAAATCAAGATTAAGGTAATTTATGTCTATGGCTGCATGGATACCTCTATCTTTATCTTGGCATCCTTTAGATACTTCTAGCTGTACAAGCATGTGTGTGTCTGTGTGTGTTTATAGAATTACTATGTATTTAATTTTACTCATGTTCATAATTTTATCCTATATTTACCTAAGTTCATAATCACTTTTTCATAGTTTTTGTTTTAATCATTGAGTGCTTCTGAACTGACTCATAATTTACTCTGAAGTCTTCTACTCATTCCTCCTGGCATTACTAATCAGTCTGAAATATGATGATATTAAAACACTTTTTAAACTCCTGGCACTTTGAATGATGATGCTTTGATTGCCTTTACAGGAGAGTATACCTTGCAGTTCTCTTTTCAGTACACTGTCCTTATTTCTAAAAATTTGAAAAAATTAAATGTTTAAACATCGAGTATTTTAGAATTTACAATTAGTTTAGGATCTTTCTACACCCGCATATATTTTGAAAATTTTTCTCCTTTTTAAAAATTTCCTTAATTTCCTCCAATGTCAACCCTTATAGATGTCTTAACCTTATTCCACAGGGAAAAAAAAAACCCTTAAAGTTGTAGGTGTGACTTTATACACGCATTCTTTCCTGTTACTCTTTTACTTGCTTTTTTCAAGAACCATCATGCATTAGTTTCCTTATATTTTTTCCCATTGCATCCCATATTTTTCCTAAAAGTAAAGTTTGAGCAAAGAAACTACTCTCTATGGCTATTTCCCACTTCTCCCATGCCACCAAAATAAACAGAGAAGGTCTAACTCTGGCAATCTTTTGATTCTGTAGAAGACCTATACCTGACTCTAAGATTTCACCACAATCTATGCCGAAGGGGCTTTAGTAATTAGTTAAAACCAACTAAATCACAGTGTAAAATTAAATTTTATTTCAAATAATTCTACTCTTTTTGTAATTTTTCATAGTATACATTGATTGAATGACATGAAATATGAACAAATATTCTGGGGTGAGAATGAGTGCATAACATTTTGGGGGGTTAATGGGCAGATTAGACTGGTTAGAGCAGGGTGTTTAAAACATTTAAGGAGTGGTGTTGATAGGTATAAATTCTAAAATCAACCAATCATCATTGGATATTACAACTTCAAAAAGGTGGGCACCCCGAACTGTTACCTGTGTGTCTTTACAACATTTTAATTTGCTTTAGGGAGGGGGGATATTGCTAAGTTTTCTCCAATTCTTCTTAAAATTAAACACTCTAGAGACCATTCTTTAACAACTCTTTTGGGTCATTCCAAAACACCTCTGTTATGGAGATTAATACTCTTTGATTCTGAGCCAAAAGCATGGTTTTCAGATGTTACAATTACCTGTTCAGCTTCTCAGGGGCAATTATTTGAAAGGAGTAAATGCTCTG